TAATTTATTAGAATTATTAGTTTAGTTTTTTTATTAAAATTCATTAGAATCTTCCTATATATATTATACTTACTTCTATTATTACACTAAACTATTCTAATTAGTCTTTTAATTTTAATATTATGATATTTTTTATTATATATTTTCATTTATTTAATGTGTACTACTATTACTTGTATTTAAACTTAGATTGTTTGATTTACTTTATTATTAAAATTCTTATTTTTTAGTCTCTTCATCTTCCTTATATTATTCTTAATTATTTTTTAATATATAACTATCCTTTTTTTATTTTCAATATAACTTTTTTTTATTTATTTAGTATTTTATTATTGTTTGTCCTATTAACAAAGTTATTTAATATGTTGAATTTCTTTATAATATAACATTAAGTTTTATTTATTTATACAACTTAAATCTAAAAAAGAATCTTCTATGCCATCAAGCCAATCTAAATTATCTTCTTGTTAAGATTATAGTTTTCTTTCGAATTTAAATATATTCTATTGCTTTTTTTAAAAAAAATTATCATACTACATTTCTTAGAGTTCAAGTTCTTTCCATTTTTATTAAAATTCGTCAAAAACAGTTTTATTCTAATTGTTATTGTTTGCAGAAAAACTATTATTTTCGTTCTAAATTAATATAAAATCACTTTATTATTATTATTATTATTATTATTATTATTTTTATTATTATTATTATTATTATTCTTTTTAGAAAATATTTTCCTTTTTATATAATGATAAAAGAGTCTATTTTCTTTCTAATTATTATAATTCTTACTCTAATTAGTCTTTTTCTTATTATAATATGTTCTAATTTATTTTAAAGTATTCAAAAAATCATCTTATTCATATAAGTCTTATTCAGTAAATCTTTATAAAGCATATTCTTCTTCCTATTCTTATTAATATTGTATTTATTACTATTATTATATATGTTATTGCTGTTATTTCTATTGTTATAAATAATTTTATTAATTATAGTTTTATTCGTCATATTATGAATAATTTTATTAATGATAGTTAGATTGTTATTAATATGGTTATTATATTTAGTCGTAATAAGTATAAAACTATTATTATGATTAGCTTTTTTACATATTTTTTTAATTATGTTTCGAGTTGTTATTTTAATTCGGACATTATTATTATTATTTTTATATATTTTATAATTAATTTTAATTTTCTTTTAATTAATTCTATTAATAATACTAATATTAATTTTATTAATAAATATTTCTTTAAATATTGTTATTAATATCTCTTTAAGGGGATTCACAAATTTGGAGACTTTATTTTTTATTGGATAAATGAACTTAATCTTAAGATTTAAAATTATTATTTTTTAATTATAAATGATCATTATAATTATTTTGTAAAGATAAGTTTTTTTAATTAACAAAAGCTTTAAATAAAAATAAAAAATAATAAATTTAAATAAATATTTATATATATATATATATATATATATATATATATATATATATTTATATATATTTTATGTATCGATCTATATATTAATATATTTTTTATTTATTTTTACTTTCAGATGATTACTTTTTTTTAAAAATAATAATTTCTCCTGGTTTTATTGATTTGGTATTTTATTATAATTTAGATTAATTCTAATCCTTTATTTCTGTTTATTTTTTATTTTCAAAAAGTATTTTTTTATATTTTTCATAATCTTTTCTTGATAATTGATTTTTTTTATTATTCATTTATTCTGAAACGAATTATTTTCTTTAATTATTTAACTAAAAAAACAAATAAATATATTATTCAAATTTTTCTATATATAAAAATAATATAGAGAACTTTTTCTAAACGATTTAATTTTTCTTTTGCGTATTTTTCATTAAACATTTTATTTTTTTATTTAAATTATTAACTTTTTAAATTAATAAGGCTAAAAAAAATTTAAATATTAATTAATAAATGAATAAAAATTAAATTTTTAATATATATATATATAAATATATATTTATATATAAATATATATATATATTTAATTATTTATATTATTATTCATTTTTTTTTCTCTGGATATCCGAAATTTAAAACTCTTCCTTTTTATCCGAAATCATTCTTACAAAATACCAAACTACTCTCTTTTTATCCCTGATTATCTATAAACTGTTACAAATCATTATTTAATGTTTCACTTATACCAAAAAACATTGCTAATTTCCCCATTAGTGCTTTTGTTTGGTTTTTATTCTACAAGAACTTCATCATATTTAGTGAAAGACTTGCTAGATTTGAAAAAACTGTATTTTAATATACAGTATTATCCTCTTAACACTATTTATTATTCTCATATTCCTCATAAAAGCCTTAGAAGGCCAGAATCATCCACATATCTTATGAATTCCATATAGAATGATATTTAATTTTTTCTTAAATGAATATTTTTTCTGATTTTTAAATATATAAATTAAATGTCAATGGAATAAATTTAATTAATTTTTCGACTTTTTTGTGCTAAAAAAGACAGTCTAAAAAAATAAAAGACTCTATTGTTAATTAATTGAATTTTTTTTAAGAAATCTCAAAATTTCCCGAAAAGCGAAAAACTTCCAAAAAAATCAAAAAAACATCTAAATTAATAATATTATACTCTATTTTTTTAACATTTTATTAAAAAAAACTATTCATATCTATATTTAAAACGTCTAAACTGACATATTCTCCCTTTTCTTATATAATATTCTCATTTAAATATATACAATATGGCTTTTATGGTATTTCTTTTAATATTTGTTCATCTATTTAATCTTTTTGTAACTTTTTTGTAAAATATTCTAGTATTATTTCATATTCGATTGATTTATTTTATTCACATTAAGTATTTTATTATATAATGTCAAGATTTTACTATAAATCTTAAATATTTTGTATTTAATTATATATATTCTAATTATTTTGTTATATATTTTCTAATTTTAAAAGATTTAAATCAATCAAAGTTTATTAAGTTTTTTAAGATAAAAAAGATTAATAATTTTATATTTGAAATGTTTTTTTAACTTATACATATTCCTTTTTTAAATCGATATTTTTTTCATGTGTAGACTCTTATATTTATTTGATTAAAACATCTAAATCATATTATATGTTTCTAATTTAGTTTATTTAAAACATAAATACTTTTTTTATTAAATCAGTAATTAAAAGTGCCATTTCTTTTTCATAACTAATCAAAAAATGAGAAAAATTGTATCTATCCTATATTAACTAATCTTAAATTTATTCAGTCTTTAAAATTTCGTTTTTATACTAAGTTTCAATATCCACTTTTTGGTTGAAAATAAGGTTTATTTTTTTCTCAATTTAATTTTTTTTTTCTTTCCTTATTTTATAAAATTAAAAAAATATATATAAATTAATATATATATATATATATATATATATATTTATTTATATATGTATAAAATTTCATATTTATTTTTTTATATTGTTTTTAACCATTTTTAGTTATTTGTTCTTTATAGAATATCGTATAAAAGTATTTAGTATTAAAAACTAACGTTTTCTATTTCTTTTTAGACTGAAAATAACTTGTCTTTGTTTTTCTCTATTTAACTTATTCCGAACTTAAATTGTTTATCATTTGTTATAATGTTTTCTTAGTATTTATTAAAATTATTTTAAATTTATTTGGTTTGTTCTTTTAATAAATCACTTTCAGTCTTTAATTAATTAGATAGGTTATTAAAATGACTTATTCTTTATTAATTATCCACTTTTAAAGCTGAAAAGTATAATGAAAAAATATCGTTTTCCTTAACAAAATTTAATTAATTCTATATATTTTATAAAGAAAAAGCATATTTTTAATCTAAACTTGATCTTTCTGATAAAATAGAAGTTAAAAATTCACATTATTTAATATAATTTTGAAAATCTTATATTTATTATTTAAACTCTTCCATATTATAAAAAATTAGTTATATATATGTTTATTAATTATATTTAAATATATAAATTTATATATATTTAAAAATATAAATTTAAATTTATATAAATTAAAATTTATAATTTTTAAATAAATATATTTATATATATTAAATAATAAATTAAATAAATAAAATAATATATATTTAATTATCATTTTTTAAAAAAATTATATATATAGAAAACTTTTTAATGTTATCTTTTTCCTATATATAATTATTTTAATTTTTTTAGTAATTATTTAAATATATAATAATATATATATATATAAATATATATATATATATATATATATATATATATATATAATATTTAATATATATATACATATCTTTTATATTCATTTTGTTTATTTAATTATATTGGTTTTTTTTAATTTTTAATAGTTTATGCAAATATATTTTATATTTTATTATTATATTATATCATCTACATTTATATTATTAAATATATAAACATATTATACTATTTAAACATAATAATACTAACCAAATAAATAATAAAATTGAATATATTTATTAAAATTTAATTAATTTTTTTTTTATTTCAGTAAAATAATTTTTATTTAATATTGATATATCTTATATAATAAATTTATATATAAATATAAATTTAATTTTTTTTTTTAATTAATTTTATTATTTATATATTTATTCTTAATATATTATATTATATCTATATATATTTATTAAAACATAAAATATAATATAATTGTATATATAGATTTTAACAATTATAATTATTCATATTTATATCTTAAATGATTATATATACAATTATTAATTAAAAAATTTTATTTTATTATAAACTTATCTAATTAATTTTATATTATATTCTATTTTTTTTTATAAAATACTTATATAATTTTTAATGTAAAATAAAGAAAACTTAATAATAATTAAATATGATAAAAGAATAAATAAAAAAAAAATATATATATATATAAATATTTATATTTATATTTATATTTATATTTATATTTATATTTATATTTATATATTTAATAAAAATTACTACTTTATATTTTATTTTTATATTATGAGTTCCTTTGGAAAAATTTATAAAGTAACTACTTTTGGAGAATCACATTCAAAAGCTGTTGGCTGTTCCGTCGAGAATTTTCCTCCTAATCACATTGTTGATATAAATTATATATAAAAAGCCCTTAATAGGCGTAAACCAAACTAATCATCATTAACAACATCTCGTGATGAACTTGATTAGGTTGATATAATTTGTGGATTATAAAATAATACATCATTAGGCAGCCCTATCGCCTTTTTAGTCCATAATAAAGACTAAATACCTTCCGATTATATAGCTATGGATCAAATACCTCGTCCTGGTCATGCTGATTATACATATTTGGTTAAATATGGTATAAAAGCATAATCTGGAGGCGGTAGAAGTAGTGCGAGAGAAACTATTGGTACATAAAATTAAAAAATTATTTATTTAAATTAATATAATAATAAATAATAACAGGTAGGATATGTGGTGGGGCTTTAGCAGATATTATATTAGAAAAACAATTAAAAATGAATATTTTTTCATTTGTTTCTAGTGTAGGTAATATAGAAATTCCCTCTGAAATAATATAGGAAATTGTAAATGAGAAATAATTTATTTTAAATAAAGATAAAATAGACTAAAACGGGACATTTAATGTATATATAAAAAACGAAGAAGATGAAATATATGAAAATAACAATATATATTTTAATAAAAATGGTTATATAAAAAAAATATCTTTTTATTTAATAAAAATAAAAAAAGGAGAAAAAATATTAAATAAATTAAATATAAATGAATATAAATTAACATAATAAGTAAATATAAGATGTCCACATTAATAAACAGGCGTAAAAATGATAGAATTAATAAAACAAATAAAAAAATAAAAAGATTCTATTGGAGGAACTATCATATGTGTTATATAAAATCCTCCTATAGGCTTAGGAGAACCATGTTTTAATAAATTAAATGCATTATTAGCACATGCTATAATGAGTATTCCAGCTACAAAGGGTTTTGAGATAGGTAGTGGCTTTGAAGGTACTAAATTGAAAGGTTCTTAACATAATGATGTCTTTTTTTAGGATGAAAATAAATAATATTTATCAACAAAAACTAATCATTCAGGAGGTACTTTAGGTGGAATATCTAATGGGTAAAATATCGTAAAAATATATATGCTAATATAAATATATATTTTATTTTATAAATTTAAAGTATTTTAAAGTGGCATTTAAACCAGTATCTACTATAGGAATACCTTAAAATACATGTAGCCTAGATGGAAAAGATACTGTTTTAGAAGCTAAAGGAAGACATGATCCATGTGTATTACCTAGAGCACCTCCTATAGTAGAAGCTATGGCTTCAATAACTATATTAGATAGTTATTTAATGTTAAAAGCAAATAGTAATTAATTTTGGTGAAAAGTATGTAATTAAAAAAAAAAAAAAATATTAAAAAATATAAAAATATAAAAAATAAATAAATATATAAAATATTGAAAGAAATACATTACTATATATATATATATATTAATAAATATATAATATATAAATATATAAATATATAAATATATAAATGTATAAATTTATCCTTAGAATTTAATATTTTTGCATTTATTTAACTTTATATTAACGTTAAAATGTATGATTAACTATTAAAATCTATTTTTACTCTTTTTGTAAGACTTTACTTTGAATTTAATTTATCTTCAATATAACACTCTAGATATTTTAACGAGTTAGAGATTTATACTTTAGTTATCTAAATATTATAAATCATTAGTTCTTAAATTATATTTCTATTTTAGGTTTATTAATAATGAATTATCATTTTAAATATATTCTAAATATTTTTAAAGACTACAACTATAGAAATGTTAATATTTTTTTTTGAAACGTAATAATATATATATTTAAAATAAAATACATTTAATTATATTCTTTTATTTTTTCTTTATTAGTATTTTATTTAATTCTTCTTTTTTTTCTCTTATTCATATCATTCTATTAAATCTTTTACATTATCGAATAATTTTATAATATCCTCTTTGTAAATTTTTAAAAAATACCGAATCATTAATTTACTTTATTATTTTTTTAATATTAATTTTTTTTTTTATTTTTTAAATAAGTTTTTCATGCTTTTTCAAAATTAATTATTAAGTTTAACTATAAGTCTCAATATTCATATTTATATAATGTCTTATTTTACATTATTTGCATTCGAAAATTGATTTTGAATTTATTATAGGAAAATCTATTGCTTTAAATATAGATTTTTTAAAATAAGCAAAAGTTAATTGGAATTTTTATATATTAAATAATTAAAAAAAAAATTTAAATTTCTAATTAAAAGACTAATATATATGGAGTATGTAATTAAAACGAGTCTTTTTCTAATTTTTAGTCTATCTAAAACAATCAAAAATAATAATAATAATATATATATATATATGATTGTTCAAATCTAATAGTTTCATAAATTACTTTAAAAAGATATTAAAGATTTATATAGATTTAACTCTAATTAAAAAATCTTTAACGAAAAAAAAGAGGTAATAAATCTATGATTACTATGAGTAAATTGTTTAATATATTAGAAACCCTTATTTAATATTAAAAAAAGGGCTTATATATATATATATATATATATATATATATATATATATATATATATATATATATTTTACAGTTTAAAAATATAAAAGAAAATAAATAATATTTATAGATATTGTTAAAGAAGTTATGGGTAAAAGAAAAAAACTAATTATAGCCGAAAAGACATAAAATTTTAGTTTACTTAAAAAAAAAAAAAATGTTTTTTAAAAACTTAATTAACTAACCAGTACATATATGTATAAATAAATAAAAATACTATTAAATTAATCGAAAAATTTATTATACTGCTCATTATACTTCTATATAGGTAAATTATTAATAAAAAAAAGGAAATATTTTATAATAAATAAAAACAAATTTTAAATATGTATATATATAAATAAATATATATTTAAATATATATATATATATATATATATTATTTATATAATTTTAGTATATTAAATATATTTGTAATTAAAAAAAATATTTATATATTTTAAAAATAAATAAAAGAAATTTATTAAAATTATATCGTATAAAATTAAATTATTTTAATAATTTTATATATTTATTTATATAAACCGGAAAAAAATTGTTTATTACTTTAATTTTTTGATTATTTATTTTATTTTTATCATTAAATTTTATTTTTAATTTATTTTTATATTATTGATTTATTATTTATTAAAGTATTTCTTAATTTATTTATTATTTTTCTTTAATTTCTATTTTTATTAATTAATTTTATATTTATTTTATTTATTTTTAGTTTATTTATAAATATATTTATATATATATTTTTTTTCTTTAATTTATTTCTTTTTTTTTTTTTTCATTAATTTTTGTATTTTTATTTTTTCTTTAATATTTTTATCTTTTTTTTTTAATATTTTATATTTTAAATAAATTACATCTAAAACTATTATGAAAGCACATATTCCATTATATACTACTAATATTTTTCTTATCCAGTTGTATCTATTTTTTTATTAAATAATGTAAACGGGAGAGTTCGAAAATTCACCCTCCCCCCTTCTATATATATATTGTTAAGTAAAACATATGATTTTCAAAAACAGTGTACTGATTTGTCATTTAAATATTATTTTCTAATTAAATTTATTTCGAAAGAAAGTGTTTAATCTAATATTTTCGAGTTCGGGGAGGGGGGGATATTTTAATTGTTTTAGTTTACATTTTATTATAAATATAAAGATTTTTTGATGACTATATGATTTTAGATATTTATTCGATAATATAAAAAATATATTATTATTATAAAAGAATTTTTTTTTCAAGTTATTATAATTTTTATAAACTTTTTATTATTAGATTTATTTATTTAATTGGCTTTTTATAAACTTTTGATTATTATTCTTATTATTAGGTTTATTTATTTAATTGGCTTTTGATAAATTTTTATTATTAGGTTTATTTATTATATTGGCTTTTTGTAAACTTTTTATTATTAAGGTTTATTTATTATATTGGCTTTTGATAAACTTTTTATTATTATATTTATTTATTATATTGGCTTTTGATAAACTTTTAATTATTAGATATTTAATTTGGGTTTTGATAAACTTTTTATTATTAGATTTATTTATTTAATTGGCCTTTTGATAAACTTTTTATATATTCTTATTATTAGAATTATTTATTTAATTGGCCTTTTGATAAACTTTTATATATTCTTATTGTTAGATTTATTTTTATTATAATTTTTATAATATTTGAAATTAATCTAATTTTTTATGTTTTTCCTCTAATTTTTTTAGTTTATAAAAGCAAAAAACTCCAAAAATCCAAAAATCCATTTTTTCTCGTTTTTTTATGATATTAAAATATGTTAAAAACTTATATATATAAATTACACGTGTAAATTATTAAATTAAATAAATCATAAAAGTCATAAATACTAAAAAATATTTAATTAAACAAAAAAAAACAAAAAAATTTAAACAAATATAAACAAAAAAACCAAAAAATGAAACTAACATTTCTAATAATACTAACCGTTTCCCAACTTTTAACGCTAATAAAAACCACGGTAATAGGTATAGATTTCGGTTCTCAATATTTTAAAATAAGTTTAAATTCTCCCAAAAAGTCTTTCTAAATCGTCGAAAACACTTTATCTAAACGCAAAACAATGAATTCCGTAAAAAATAAAAACAAAAATATATATAATAAACATAAAAAAACCTATATAAATAGATATCTTTTATAGGAAATGACCGTATATATGATAAAGACGCTTCAATGAAGTAAGTTCGAAATCCTAAAAATTCCTTCGTTTTCCTGACTAAATTTTTGGGCGCTTTAAAAAACGACTAATAAGTATTCGAAATCTCCAAAAAATATTACGAAGAATATATATATTAACTCGACCCTATACACGGCACAGTTATTTTCGAACTCGAGAAATTCAAATTAAATAAAGCGAATGAAAAAATCCTTTTAAGAGTAGAAGAAATAACAGGAATGATATTAAAATCCGCCAAAAAATACGCAGAATAAAAAGCCGAAATCCCAAATATAAAAGACTGTGTAATTACAGTACCCACAAACTGGTCTCTGAAATAAAGAATAGCCCTAGTATAAAGTGCCAGAATAGCTGGTTTAATTCCCATTAGTTTAATTCACGATAATACTGCTGCTGCACTACATTATGGGCTTAATTTTTTAAATAATAACAATAATAATACTCTTACAAAAAATGTCATTTTTTATAATATGGGATCTACTAATATATAAGCTAGTTTAGTCTAGTTTTCCTTCACTAATAATACTATAAAATTGGATAATTAGAAGATTATTCCAGTTGTTTCTGTTCTAGCAGACTACGGAATATCCGATGTAGGTGGTTATGCCTATGATTTAAAAATAGCTGATTATTTTGCTGAATAAATTGATGTAAGTTAACCAAACTAACCCACATTTAAGGAAAATAGGAAGGGAATGGTCAAATTATTAAAGGAATCAAATAAAGTTAAGGAAATACTTTCCGCTAATAAAGAAACCTAGTTTTTTTCGGAAGGTCTTTTAGATGGAAATGACTTTAAATCATTCATTACAAGATCTAAATTCGAAGAAATAACCTCTAATTTAACACAAAATGTACTAATTCCAGTACATAAAGTATTATAAATGTCAAATAAGACTAAAGAAGACATAGAAATAGTAGAATTAATAGGAGGAGGTGTCAGAATACCAAAAGTACAGTAAATTTTAGGAGATTTTTTCGGTTAAAATAAAACTGGATTTCATCTAAATGGAGACGAATCTATGGCTTTAGGAGCTGCTTTTTTAGCAGCGAATTACTCCTCTTCTTTCAGAGTAAAAAGAGTTTAATTAAATGATGGATATAATTTCGATATAAAAATGAAAATAATAAATTTAAATCCAGAAGATGGTGATGATTTCTCAAAAGAAACAGTTCTTTTTGGATATAAAAAAAGATTCGGTTCTAAAAAAGTTATCAATTTTAAACATGATAAGGACATTTAATTGAATATTTTTACAGAAGACTACGAAGGAAATACTATGTAATTAGTCAAGTATAATATAACTAATATTTCCAGTGTTTTTTAGAATAAAAAATACCAGGAATTCGCACCAATGAAGATTTCATTACACTTTGAATTAGGAAGTATTCGAGTAATAGACTTGAGTGATGTAGAAGCTTCTTTAAATATAACTTAAAAATTAGAAAATGATAAAGTTAAAAGTAAAATATAAAATTTTGATGTTGATATATATGAAATGTATCCATTTTACAATCCTTTAAATTAAACTGAAGTTGAAAAAAGCTAAAAAAAACTAGAAAGATTTGATAAATTTTAAGAATAAATTAAAATGGTAGAGAAGTAGAAAAACACCTTCGAGTCATTAATTTATTAAATAAAAGAGCATTCCACTGATAAGTCATTTTTAAAATATTCTGACGGAAAAGATATTTAAAAAGCTGTAGAATTAGCGGAAGAAGTAAAAATATTTATATATATAAATAATATAAATATATATAAACAAAATAAATATATAAATTTATATATAACTATATATATTTATTATATATATATATATATATATATATATATATATATATTAATATATATATTTAATTTTTCAGAACAGTTAATGGCTAGAAAGTGATGACGTTAATTATGCTGGCATTGAAGATTTTAAAAAAAGATATTAGGATATGGAAAATATTATAAACCCTATTAAATTTAGAAAGTCAGAACATGAAAAAAGGGTTAAAGGTTATAATGAAGCTACTAAATAAATTAATTCATTTTAAGAAAATACTGATAAATTAGAAAAAACACACCCTTGGATTTCTAAAGATGAAAAATCAAAGCTTAATAAACTTATTTAAAGTACTAAGGTATGGATGTAATAAGTATAAGAAAAATAAAAAACATTAAAATTATATGAAAATCCAGCATTTATTTTACAAGAAGTAAATGAAAAAGTAAGCGAAATAAAAAAAGAATATGACAGGATTAAAGCTATTAAAAAACCAACTGCTATAAAACCTAATGTATAATAATACATATATATATATATATATATATATATATATATATATATTTATATAATATATATAGGTAGATAATAAAAAAGATTAATAAACACAATAACAAAATAATTAATAGAAAAAAAATGAAAAAAAATAAGTAATAAAAATTATTTATATATTATAATAATTATTATTAATATAAAAAAGGGTAAAAAAGAAGATTTGTGATGATTTTATTAGAAAATATTTTATGTAATTAAATTTATTTTATAACATGGTATTAAAAATAATAATACATAAAGTTTATTTTTATAAAAATAAATTAAAATGTATTTTTTTTTTTATAAATTATTATTAATATATATTATCACTAATATATATATATTTTATATATTTAAAAAAAAAATTTTTTAAAAAAATTATATATATAAATTTTTTTTTATATATATATATATATATATATATATATATATAATTATTTAAATAATATTTATATATTTACAATTATATATTTTAATACATATATTCTTTTTATAATTAAATTCTATTTGTTCTTTAATATAAAAATAATAATTTTAGATTAATTTTATTTCATTTAAAAAAAAAAAATAATTTATAAATATTTTTAAATAACTATTTAATATATTTTTTTTTTAAAAAAAAATTGTTTAGAATTCATATTAATTTTATTTTCTCATATTATAAAATATGTTTTACATATATATATATATATTTATATCCAATTTATTTCTCAAAAAATTTTTTTATTATGATTTTTTTAATATTTGTTTATTTTAATTGTATTATATAATCCAAAATATTTTATTTATTTAATAATTAATACTAAAAATATGTCTATTAAATTTGTTTATATAACTTTTTTTTTTAATTTTCCTTAAAATATTATTTTATGAAATTTATAACTTATTTTATATATTATAATAATAATAACATATTTTAATATTATAATATTACAATGAAAATTTATTGACTTTAAAAATAAATTTTCTAATAATAATATAAAAGAAAGTTAACACTATTAGAAAAACTTAATAAAGATTATATACTGATTATTGGGAATTATTAAAAAAATATAAAAATAAAAAGATTAAAATAATATGTAAAAATATATGAAGATATAAGAATTAAAATATTAGAAAATTATTTATTAAAAAATAATGATTTAAAATATATATACATGAAATTAGAGTTAGTTTTACTGATTTTTATATTATTTATTCATTTATTATTGAAAAAAATAAAAAATAATATAACTAATAGAAGTAAAAAAATATTATAATTTTTATTTAGATTATATATTTATAAAATAAAAATTATTTTTTAATAAATAAAAAAATATATTTTAAATAGAAAAAAATTATATAATTAATAAATTAAAATTAATATATAAAAAAAATATGAATATATAAAATAATAAAAATTATTATATTATGAAATAATAATTATTTTAAAATTAAAATATATTAAAGTAATAAATTTTATTATATTATATATTTTTAAATATTTGTATTTATATATTTTTAAATTTTTTATTTATATAATACATTTTATATATATATTTATATATTTATATATATATATTTATATATTTATATATTTAATTTATTTTTTATTTTTATATTCAGATAATTTTCCATTATTTCAATTTTATCTCAACAATTTATCTAATTATTTTTTTTATTATACATTAATACATTTAATAATAATTTTTTAATTATTTTTTAAATATTTTAGTAAATAAAAATAAATATAATCTAATATATATATAATATAATTAGCCATAAAATAATAATAATAATATAACACTTTTTTTTCAATATTCTTTATTGTAATCATCTGTAACCCAAATATCGAATTCTTCTAGAATTTTCGTATAAGGCATTCCAAAGTTATCTTTGTTTTATTTTTTTTCTTAATTTTCTACAATCAGATTATCAAACAGATTTACTAAATTACTCTCTTTTACATTTCTAATCGAGCTATTATCTAAATTAATGATTGCATTCGCTATATTAATTTTAAACCTTTATATTCCCATTATTTTTTCCTCTAAAGTATCCTTAGTGATCAACCTAAAAACATTTAAAATATTCTTCTAACCTATCCTATGTGCCCTATCTATAGCTTATAAATCACTCATTGGGTTATAACTATGGTCAAACATAATAACTACATTAGCTGACGTTAAATTAAGTCCTAAACCGCCTACACTGGTAGTTAAGAGTAGTATTTTATACTCTATATCTTCATTAAATCTATTTATTATTGCAAATCTTTTAGAAGGAGGTACTTATCCATCTAGTTTTAAATATTTTATATGAGGAAATTCTACTTATAGTAATAAATCAGAGATTAATTATAGTGTTCTCTTATATCTACTGAAAATAAGTATTTTATTCTTGTTATTTATAAATGCTTCGTTTTCTTATACTTCTTCCTTGTTTTTCATACCTAAGTCTTCCATTAATTATTTCAAAGCTTTAAATTTACCACTTTATATATATGAAGGTGGTATTTATTTATTAAAATTTTTATATTAAACCGGATGATTTACTATTTATATTAACTAAGAAAGCATTTTGAGTATATTTTCCTATTAAACCTAGTTCTATTTATCCTATAATTCCTATTCACATTATTTAATTTAGCCTTCATATAATTATTAATAGAACTAATCTTAAATATCAGTCATTTTACAAAAATAATCCTAAATAATCTTAGGAGGAAGTTCCTTTAGTACATTTTTTTTATCTCTTCTTAAAATAAAAGGCATTACTTTTTAATGTAATTCATGTAAAATCTTATCTTATTCTTTTGAAAAAAGTATATCTTCTTATGAAAACTATAAAATATTAGTATTAAATAATTTCGAGAATTTCTCCTTAAAATACTTCACACTACCTAAATATTGAGGCATTAAAAAATCGAAAATACTCCATAATTCCTATAAATTATTCTATAACTTCGTATAACTTAATAAAAATTTATGTTTTCCTTAAATTAACCTTACTGCTTCCCCTATTTTAGTTTACGAATTTTTAATAATATGTCCTTCGTCTAAAACTAAGAATTTGAACTATAGATTTCTCAAAAACTCAATGTTTTTATATAGACAATTATATGATATAATATATACATTATAATTACTCTTTTACATATTCCCTATATTTTTCTTATTTAAAACCTAAGCCCTTAGTATTTTCTAGTCTAAAAATTTCTATATTTCAAAAAACCAATGGTCTACTACACTAGCCGGGGCTACAATTAACGAGATTTCATTTAAATTATCATTATTCTTATAATATTCATTTTATATAAGGATTAGTATTTATATAGTTTTTCCTAAACCCATATCATCACATAAGGCCCCATTTAAATTATATTTAACTAAAAAGCCGAGCCATTTTATTCCTTCTAATTAATATTCTCTTTATTGAATATTATTTTAGGGATTCTATATATTTCATATTAAAAATTAGTTGTATTAGTAAAATCTAGTATAAATTAATTTCCTTTTATTAATTTTTTCTGTATTTATTCATCTAGTTTGTAGATTAGGAATACTTAGAATATATTATTAGATAAAAATACACGAGTAATGATCTTTCCTAGGTTTTAAAAGGCTAGATTTCGTACATTTTAATTAATAGAAGTGAGTGATTTTAATACTTTTAATACATATAAACCTGCGAAATCTAGAGTTTGTTTGATTTCTAATATTTAGGGCAATAATTCGAATATAAAGAGGTTTTATTTTTTTAATAAAGAATATATTTTAGTTAATAAAATATTTAGAATTCTCATATATTAATCATTTTGTATATTTCTAATTTCTTTAAGGAATATTTTTTAGCAAAAAATAAGGAAGACTTTTTTAGTTTTTTTAATTAAATTTATATGTTTATCATTTTCATTTAAAAAAACCATCAAATTATATATACTTTCTAGTATTTTTTCCAAAAACTCATATATAAATCCTGAAAAAAGAGCATTTTTTAACACTTTTATATATTTTAAATTATTTAAAATCTCATTTTCATTGAAAATATTTTCATTGTTTTTTTTTTTTTTTTAAAAAAAAAAAAAACTAATCAATTCTCCTCCCAAAGCATCCTCTAGAAAGTATAATTTACCTAAATTTTATTCCTTTTCTAAAAACATATTTAAAAACTGATTTAAAAACTCGAATTTTTTCGCATATCCATTAAAATTTACAGAATCTTCTTGAATTTCAAACGTTATTTTTTTGTTTTTTTCACTTATTTTTTTCAGTATATTTCTTATAAGTTTTTCAATAGACTCGAATTTCTCGATATTATGGCTTAAAAAAAACATTGAAAAACATACAAAATCACTCACATGTTAAAACTTTTCAAAAAAACTATAATTTACAATACTTTTACATACTAAATTTAACTTTTTTATCTACATTTTTTATTCCAATAATAAATTAATATATAAATAATTTCCGCAACTTTTTATTAAATTTAGGTATTAATTTCCTATATTTCTCATTTAATTTTCCTCTCGGACAATATTTTCTAAATTCATTACTAATTTGGTAGAAATTTCAATAAATACATGTACATTATTAATAAAATTTTAAGCTTTTAAACTTAAATTTTGATAATTCTCCCTTCTTTTACTATTATTATTATTACTACTATCTAAAAACCCTAAAATCTACTAAATTTACTCCGAATTTTTTATTCTTGGCGCATTTTCCAGTAATTTATCAATAGCTTTAAGCGAAAACTATATCCCATTATCCAAATCCTTCATTTCCTATACCAAAACCCCCCAATAATTCCACTAAAGCATCCCTTCTAACTCTTCTAAACTAAAAAAATGTACCCTTGCCCCTTCTTTAATTAAATAGCAGTTTAAAATCAATAAAAAAATCAACGAAAAATGCTCAAACTTCCCCTTTTCCTTCAAAAACATCACTACACTCTACTAAATATCTACATTTTCCCTTAAAAACACCCCTAAAGAGTACCCTATTCTCAAACTTCTTAAAACTATTCCATCAAATCCCGCATATACATTTAAAAAAGCTTTAAAAAAGTTATAATTTGGGAAAAACTCCCCTTAAATTCCCTCTTCTTGCATTTCTTCGATTATTCTATCACACATAATCTACCTACACCCAATATTAACTAAAAAAAGCATCTCCTTCTCTAATTTCTACACACTAATTTTACCAAAAATACCCTTTATAATGCCTTAAATCTTCATTATATTCTAGATATTCTTCTCTACATACACTCCTCTTACACATAATTCTAAGACTCCTTCTAGGTCTCTCTGTTCTTCCAAAAATACTACATTTCTACCTAAGACTTCATACACTTCGCCCCTAACATCTTCTTCCCAATGAAAAAAATGCTTAAAAATCTTCCTTATATGCCCTTTAATTTCCCTGTTTTCCATCTTCAATATGTTTAAACCCTGTATTTATTTAAGGACTTCCAATATAACCTTAACATTATACCCAATATCATCAAAAGCGTCTACATTCTTCCAAAAGAACTTCCCGACTTCTTCAAAAAAGGAGATTTCTTCCAGAATAAAGTCCCTATCTTCTAAAAAAATCCTCATATTTTCCCCAAAATGCATAATTAAGTCTTCATCGGCATTTCCTTATAGAAAAAAGGTATAGTTTTCCTTAAAAATATAAAAGATTTCCCTTTTTTCCTCATATTTTTGTGTATTTTTTAGCATATTATAAATTAAAACTAAAACAGTTTAAGCAATTAGTCTTTATTTATTACACTTTAAGGCTTCCTTTAATAAAATGGCCATTTTTTATAAAATCTCCTTCTTTTTTTTATACTATAAATAATCTTATAAAATACACTATAGAATATCACAAGCCACCTATCTTATCATAATATCACTAGTTTTTCCACTATAATCAGTCAATTAATCTAAACATACTAAAATCATACTTCTACTGGTATAATTTTATATAATTCTTTCTAAAAAAACATCATTTTATATATATTATTTTAAATCATATTATATTTCGTTTAGTATTTTTTTAAAAAAAAAATCATTTTCGTCATCCTTTTTTTTATATATCACTTTCTCGAATTCTAAAAACTATATGTTTTCCTTTAAAAGACCTTTTAAAACTAAGGCCGCAGAGTGTCTTATTTCCCAAGTTCTGTTTAGAAGGTTTTTTATGCATTGTTTATATATTATATTATATGGGACAATGATTCTGAATCCTAGAAAAGGTCCTTATTATAATTATTATTATTATTATTCAATAATATTATTATTTTCCTAATTGATTTTTATTTATTTTTTAATAATTTCTTCTTATTAATCATTATTAGTATCTAACTAATTTTTCCTTTTGTTTTTGTGTTTTTTCCTATTATTAATTTTCTCGTCATCACTGGAAAAATTATTCATTATTTATTTTTCTAAAAAACTGATACCTTCCTATATCAAAAGAATATAAGTTGAAAATATATTAAAACCGAATAAAATATAAATGTATAAATATATATATATATATATATATATATATATATATATATATATATATTTTTTTTTATTTAAAATATATATAATTTTATTTATTTATGTGTTTATATAATACTTATTATCTCATCATCCCTATCAAATTCTATTAGTTAAATTCGGAAGAAAGCCCCATTTTTTATAAAATTTCTTCTTCTTACATTTATCTCTCTTTTTGATTATTTTAAACCTCGTAAAAGTTGTAGTCTCTAGCCACTAAAGGCACCTCGTTTTTTATTAAAAACTCAAAATCAATTTCTTCTAGTGTTAAATTGTCCTTTTCTTATGCTTTTTCTAGACTTTTAATTAGTTTCTTTTCTTCTTTTTTTTCATCTTATTAAATTTACTCATTTTAGTATATTTTTTCCATATGAAATAAGCAGTTTATATTAATTTCTTCGTTTTCTTAATTTAAATTAGCTTTTAAAAAATTAGTTAATTATTCTGTATATTGTTTATATGTTTTTTTTATTATTGAAGCTGCTACTTGTCGGTGTTTTAAATATAAATGAGAATCCTTTACACAAGAAAATAATAATTTTAATGCTTTCATGGATATATAATATATAGAAGAGGGAGAATCTTTATATATTTCGACTATTTAACGGACACATAAATCAAATAATTCTTCGTTGTTTTTATCTTGAAAAATATTGAATATTTTATCGATTTTTGCTTCCATATTTTTTATATATATATTTTTTTTTTTTATATATTTAAATTCTTAATTTCTTAGATTTTTTTTTTTTATTTATTTATACAATATTTATATTATTTTATATATAAAAAAATAATATAATATGTAATTATTATTATATTTAGTTGATTTTTATGTATATATAATACAAAACTATTCTTATTATATATATTTATTTTATTTTTTTAGAATTAATATAAAAATAAAAGAAAAAGTTCAAAATAAAAAAGTATTTGTAAATATATATATATTTTGATTTATGAAATTTAATATATTAAATATAAAATCCAAATAATAAATAAAACATATATATATATATATATATATATATATATATATAAAAATATATTTAATTTATATTAATTTATATTAATTTTTGCGTTTCTAAATATTAAATTTAAATTAACAAAAAAATATTTATTTATAATAAAAACTAATATATATATACATAATATTTATATATATATATCACTTTTCTCTTTTTTATTTAAAAATATATTCAATTGATAATATATTTTTCTTCATTTTTAATAAATCTGACCCTAAAGGCTCTTAATTATAAGGGTTTAACATTAATATAACCTTTAAAAAGAATTAAATTATTATATATATATATATTTAATATAATTATACCTTGTTTTATATATTTATCCTGAATATATTCTTAATTAAATTATTGTCTTACTCCCTCAACTTTCCATTTATATTATTTTTATTTCCAATCCTTTTTCTTTTAATTCCCAGTAAGAGTTAATTCATCAATAATTTCAATATTTTCATGAATAAAATACTAAGCATTTTCATTATCATTTAAATTATTTAATCTTAATAAATAATCATCCCCAAATACTCTAAAATAGACTTTTAAATAAGGATTATTATTAATATTTAACGGATCTTTTAAACTATCTATTTTTAATAAGAAATCTTTAAAATATTCCTCTTATGAATTTCCATAAAAAACAATCGATTAACTATCAATATAATTCTAAATTTTCCTTGATAAGTTCTCATTTCCGTTTTCAAAAACAATATAATGTCTTAAAATCTATTATAATCCTTTATTTTAATCAATTCTTTCAGTTTCATTTAATGCTTCACCTACCCCTCTATTATCATCCATTAAAGTTCTTCTATGAATCATAATTTCTATTTATCCGTTTTGTAAAGAAGTACCTCCTTAACTCCTATCATTTACTACACTAATTCTTTCTTAAGAATTTACATCTTATATAAGAATTATTCCATTTACAGGATAATAATTACAACTACTTGGTTAATTAACTTATAAATCCCATGTTTCTCTTTAATTAATTACTCTTTTCTATAATTCAAGTCCATTAGAATCTGTATAGAATGTCTAATTAGTATTTAAATTAGTATTTATTAATAAGACGACTTCTTTTCCTTTTTTATCATCAACAGGTATACTTTTGACATAAGTCTACAATTCAATAACATTTTCTAGATTAGGATATACTCTCAATTCTGATTTTATTTTTGTACCTTCTAAAATAACAATAGTGACCAATTTTCCATTAAAAATGTACTATTTATAATATAATATATTATTATTTTAATAATTATGTATATAACTTTATTCTTTATTTTAGAATAAGTTTAAGATCTATCGATATTATTATTATCTGGTCTAAATATATAAGCACCTGATTTCTGTCCATCTCCTTAATAAGAGTTGTAATAATTATATAAGACTTCAAATGCATTTTTTGTACAATTTTAAGTGGAATTAGTAAAAGTATTTAATTGAAACTAAGTGTTAAATCTATTAACTTGCAAAGATATATTCCTAGAAACATCAAAAACTTAATGTAATTTAAAAAATTTCATATGTTATTTTTAAATATTCTTAACATTATAAGGGGAAATTTTAAATGGAACAAATTTATAATAATTAAACTAATAGGAATTTTAGTAATCAACAAAATATAAATCACAGGCACCATCATAGCAAACCCTTTCCCCTATAAAAATTAGAAGAAATATATATATATATATATATATATATATATATATATATATATATATATATATATAAATTTATATATTTATATATTTATAATATATATTTTTATTATTTACCTTCTATATAATTATTTTTATTATCTATTATATAAAAAGGTATATTAGGTACTCTTAATCTTAAAGTAATATTTCTTTAAACACTAGGATTATAAGTATTTAATAATAATACATTTCCATTTTAGAATTATTAGAAAGCTTCCTAACATTACTAGACACTAGTTATATTCCAATTACATTGACTAAACCTAATGTCCTCTTAAATATCTTTTAATACATATTCCTAAACAACCTTATGTAAGACCTCATTTAACTTTTAAGTAGAGTTGTAAATTCTATACTGATAATCATCCGCGACTTTTTATTTCTCAGTTCCCGCCACTGCGTCATGATGTTAAAGAATGGCCATATTCTACTCCAAAGAGTCTAATTTACTTTAAAACTCTATATAATTATCTTTTAAATACTTACTTTTACCTAACATCTTATCTATACTGAATAAATTCCTAATTTATTACAAATATCTTCCCGATTACCTCACATACCCCTTAACTGCTACTCTAGAAGTAAAATAGCCTGTCCAATAAGCATCTTTTTCATCTGCATAAGGTAAGAAATCATCTATTTTTTGAGGAAATGTAATATTTAATTTATAGATTTCCTCCAAATAAATACTCGGTGTAGAATATAGAATTTCAACATTATATTTCTCTATATTTTCATTTACATATTTAATTATTTTGTCCATATTTTTATATGTCATAATAGCATTTGCGAAATGGAAATCTCCCCCTAAGGTATGCATTAAATGCCTACTTTTATAAAAAAGACTCATGTTTTTAAAATATTCCACAAACTAATCACTTTTCTTATCTAAATTATACCCTTCTAGTTATTTGTTACTCATAATAGGTTCATCATCTGATTTTAAATCAAAGTTAAACCCTTCTGGTGGATAATAATTAGCATAAGTAACACTTGAGAAGATATAATTATCATCTTCTTATGATTATAATTTAGGTCTCCAGATCATTTCCATTTACTTTTCTCGAAGTCTTTTAGCTTTATCTTAATAATCTACACGTCCAAACCACCATCCATTGAATCCCATTTAACTAAAAAGGGCTGCATTAGTACTAGAATGTCCAAAAGGATCAACATGCCAACCAACAGTGGGTATTTTATTGAATGTTTATAGTATCCACTAATGTCCAATAGTCATGTTATCTATCATATCTTCATAATAAGGTGTAGATTCATCATGCATACACCACCCTGCATTTACGAATTCTATCTGTCCGTTTTCAACAAGTTTTTTATAAAGTTTCTACCTTTCTTCAGGACTATCGTTCCACCATCTGTATAAAAAAGCTATTTCTACTTAAATAAATTTTCTGTTTTTATCTTTAAGTAATTCATCTAAAACTGTATCTATGGTATATTAAACTCCAGCCCATTATGTAGACTAATTACTGCCATAATAGTACTCATCAACTGTTTTTAACCAGCCTACATCATCATGGGAATGTGGGATTAAATGAATATATAAAGTTTAGTTATTATTTTTTAAGTAATTTCTAATTTAAAATGTTATTTAAACAAAAAATAAAAATAAAAAGCAATATATTGACATTTTATATATGTGTAAAAGAAATTAAATATAATACAGGATAATTTGAATAAAAAAGAAAAATTTTCTTTAAAAAATATATATTATTATAAAATATATAATAATTAGTTATAATATCTATTATAATATTTAAATGAAAAATTATTATAATAAATAAAAAAAAATTAATATTATAAAAAAATTATTTTGATAAAATAAAAACAAAATAAAAAATAAAATACATAAAATAAAAATATAGATAAATATATATAATAATTACAATAATATAATTTTATATTTATATATATAAATATATATATATATATATATATATTTTGTTTTATATAATATTTATATATATATATATATATTATTTTTAATCATAAATATAATTTTTAATATATTTATTTTTAATAATTTTTTTTAATTAATCCTATATACTTTGATTTAAATTAATGTCTTAATATTAATTGTTTATATTTATTTTCTACTTTTTTTAATAGCAATAGTTAGATTTTTTTTTATAAGTTTAATTATACATTTTAATGTTATTATATTTATCAATATTTATACTTTATATTTATCTTATATTTTACTTTCTAACCTTTTTTTTACATTTTTTCCTTTTATTATAATTTATTAAGCTTTTTTAATCTTATTTTTATAATATCTAGTTTTATTATTTTAATAAACTTTTTTTAATTTGATATTAAATTTATTTTATTTTGTTCATTATTATAAAAAAATCAATATTACCTTACATCACATTTATGATTTTCTTTAAAAATATCATAATAATTTCATATATAAAGTTTTTAAATTGCTTTATTTTATTTTCATCATATATAATATAAAGATCTATCTTTAAAATTACTTTATTTCATGTTTATTTTTTCTAATTCATTATATTAATTTCATATACATTAATATTTTTGAGAAAATAAAATGAAAATTTAATAAAAACTAGCAAAAAATTGATATTATATTATAAAATTGTCTTTTTTTTATAAAAAAAATACAGTTCTTTATTATTATTTTATAGTATTAATTCAATACCTAGTTTTTGTTAAAAATCTATTAATTATATTTTATATGAAAACTCATTTTTAATAAATAAAAATAAATGTCCATTTAAACTATATATGCTTTTTAATTATTTTTGTTATATAAAAATATAAAATTTTATTTAAAAAATAATAGTAAATCTTACTTTTAATAGTTATAATAATTTTTAATATAATATCATATAATGAGGGTATAAATTACCGCCCCTTTTGAAGCCTCTAAAAAGGTTTTTTCAATAGAATTATAATAAATATAGTAAATATTCATTAAAATTCTATTATAAAGTAAAAATTAACTACTTATATACAAACAATATATTCTTTAAAAAAGTAGATATTCTCGATCAATTAGAGAAAGTTTGTAAAAATAAATAAATAAATACTATAATGATTGGATACTATTAATATTATTTATTTTAAGTTAAATTAAAAAAATATACTTAAAAAAATTAAAACTAAATCAAAGTAATAATTGAATTAACTGAAAAGTAATATTTTATATAATAAAATAGAATAATATTATATTATAAGTTGATATTAATTTAAATATATGCTTAAAATAATTTATTTATATGATTTTTTATAAAAATTATATTTAAAAATAAAAAAATTATGTTATATAATATATCGAATAATATTAAAGTAAAAAAAAACAATAAAATAAACAAAATTGAAAAAATAAAAATATTTAA